AATTTAAAATGATAATTCTCAATCTAACAATAGGAATTTTATTTAATGCAAGGTGATATTTTACTTATTTTTATAAAATAAATTTAGAATTTCTACAATTACTCATTAACCACATATATTTCTTAAATTCGAAAGTGACTAACACAAATCAAAAACAAAACGTCTAAATTTATTATTTTCAATCCAAACTAGCTTTATACCACAACTACGATACTAAAAAGAAAAATAGATTATTATACAAAAAATTACTATTTTTAAAAGTTTATATTAAATTAAAATAATTTATAATTGATCCTAAAAATATTGAGATCGATTTGAATTACTTGAATATGTTGTAACTTTTTTTTTATAACTTATAATTTAACCTCTAAATTTATAACTTGCTTGATCAATCATAGATTAATCATATTTTTTACAAGAGTTAATTGCACTAAAAGTCCTCAAAATATGAGATTTGTTTTATTTTGGTTTTCACTATTTCAATTGTATTATTTTGGTCCACAAAGTATTGAATATGTTTTTATATGGTCTCTCAANCATATTTATGTCACATATGGAGTTTCTCTAAGTAGCTACCCAGAGCCTACACCGATGTATGAGCCTGCTCGACACTCCACAGGGGAATGGATGTAACCATGTAAGTATGTACTCATTAGCATTTCATGTGTATTATAAGACCTTAATATTATGTAAAAATGTGTTTATTTCATAAAAATTAAGTGTTTGAAACTAATTTAAGTGACTTTCGCCTCAAGTCAAGCCTTTTTTTCCCTCAAATTTAAATTTATTCTTGTATAAATTGATGTTAACCTAATAAATATGTTGAATTAATAAATTATTTAGCATATCTTTATAAATTAATGGATTGCATTTGTGTTTCTATGCGTTTCCATATTTTTTATGCGTTTCCATTGCGTTTCCGAAATGTTTCCGAAACGTTTCTATTTTTGAGTTGATCGAAACGGTACTTCGAAACGAAATTTTGATCCTTGTTTGACAGTCAACATTCAATTAAAAGTATATGGATTCTACCAAATATCATTTTATTAAAATTTTTGTGAACACTAAATTATTGATTTGTAAATTTTTGTCACACCTACTATGTATAGATTGAACCGTCTATTTGTTGTGGATAAATGAGTTAAAAAGATATAAATTCATTAGTCATTACATAAAATTTAAGCACCTAAAAAATTGATCCGATTATACCAAATATNTGAACTCTTATTAAAGGGGGTGAACTTATGAAGCTATTAAATCACCCTTATGAATCTCTACATTCAAAATTAACTTTTGTTAAATATCAATCTAAATTCGTAATTTGATCTTATTTGCATTGAAATTTCAAAAGGATGCACAAAACCTAATTTTCAATAGTAGGGGGCAGTCTTTCCTATACAAGAAGCTTCCAAAGTCTCAATCACTCGTCTCTAACCTAAAAAGAGTTCACAATCGATTACGTGAAGATGTCTCCTCTGTCTGGAATATTTGTTGAGCCTGAGCACCTGTGCTAAGAAGCTTCAGGAATGTTAATGGGTTCGGACCCCATAGTCGTCTTATGTCTATGGCGTAGGGATGATGTCATTGTCTACTCAAGAACTTTTTTTTTTTTAATTTTGCTTCAATGTTTAAGAATATCTGAGTTAATTTACGAGCACATCGATCAATTTTTTTCTCTGTCCTATGAAAGGCAGGTCATCCATGCGAGATTAGAGTATGCATGAGGAATAAATTTCTCGTGACTTCGGCTCAAAAACTTCTGTTTGAGAGAGAGAGGAATGAAGTTAGGTAATTTTATAATATTAAATTTTTTTTCTCGATGTAGTATTTCTCAATGAAGTTTTAAAGTTGAATTCTTGTTAGAGTATTGCTATTTGAATATAATTTATCATTGTTATTAGATTAATANTACCGAGGACACGTGTCTTCATCATAGAGTATCTCACAAAAGTCCCATCATAGTATTAGTTGGGATTTGATACTAATTTAATTGTTTCGATGGATTAGGTCGAAAAATAAGGTTGGAATAGTATTATTATTCTTGTTATATACATCCATCCTTCACCCTTATTCTTGGTGAGAAGTCACTATTGCCTGAGCCTCTGTCACAATCAAATAGAGCCTTGCTCTCAAAAAGATTAAAAAAAAAAAAAAGTTTACAGTAATTACAAGACTTGTTCCTGTTTCAGTCAATCGTAGACTATTGACAACTACGAGAAGTAGTTTAAGTGATAATAAAAACGAGTTATAAATTCAAATATTTTGAATTTGAATCATGACAATACCTTAAGATAAGATTTTGAAAGATTATTTTTCATGAATACCTTAGTCTCGGCGTGGATGATCTGTCTTTAATCAAATCGGAGAAAAGATTAATTGATATACGCGTAAGCTCGTCTGGGCGACAATTGAACCAAAATATATATACATCTAATGCTGCACTTCCGAATTGAAGTCTGACTGTTTTAAATTTAAATTGAAGTCTGAGAATTCGAATCCTTCTGATTGCTTAAAAGCAGCAATCAGATATTCTTTTATTGCCTTGTTGGTTTAGAGGGAGGACAAACAAAAGTTAAGTTAGAAGGAGAATCGAACCATAATATCCATTTTATAAGTCGGGTTCTTACCAACTACAAATATATATGTATATGTATACATATATATATCGATGTGATAGATAGATGTGTCGTTACTTCGAGAGAAAGATTCTAATAAATATCATTGTCAATGGGTAAAAGTTGTCGATAGACATTAAGACGGATTTCCTAGGAAAAACTAAGATGAGTCCATGGTTTATGTCAATATCATTAATAGGTGTATCCACGTCGTCACATGGATGATTTTAAAAGAATATAGTTAACATTGGGGACCTCATCGGAGTGAGAAAACTAGGAAAAAAAAGAAAGAGCTCTCAAATTTGAGTGTCATTGCTTCAAGAAAAAGATTCTAATAAATATCGTAGTCAATAGTTGATAGAGTTTAAGACGAATTTCTGAGAAAAAAATAAAATCAAGATGAGTTCATAATTTATGTTCATATCATTAATAGTTGTATCGTTGTCGATGATTAGAGGTTGTTGATAGAGTTTAAGACGGATTTCCTAAGAAAAACCAAAGANGATGATTAGAGGTTGTTGATAGAGTTTAAGACGGATTTCCTAAGAAAAACCAAAGAGGAACTCATGATTTATGTCCATATCATTAATAGTTGTAGTCTTGTTGTGACATGAATGATTTAAAAGAATATACATCACATTGGGACCTCATTGAAGTGGGAAAACTTGAAAAAAACAAAAAAGGTCTTAAATTTGGNATGCGTTTCCATTGCGTTTCCGAAATGTTTCCGAAACGTTTCTATTTTTGAGTTGATCGAAACGGTACTTCGAAACGAAATTTTGATCCTTGTTTGACAGTCAACATTCAATTAAAAGTATATGGATTCTACCAAATATCATTTTATTAAAATTTTTGTGAACACTAAATTATTGATTTGTAAATTTATGTCACACCTACTATGTATAGATTGAACCGTCTATTTGTTGTGGATAAATGAGTTGAAAAGATATAAATTCACTAGTCATTACATAAAATTTAAGCACCTAAAAAATTGATCCGATTATACCAAATATGAAATATCAATTTTTCTTTAATTACATAAGTTAAAATTAATTTTTATCAATTGTTTTTCACAAAAAAATGACAATTTTCTCAAAATACATAACCTCCAAAAAAAAAAAAAAATCAACACATGTATACTATTGTATATAAATAATATATAAATTAAATTATTCAACTTTTAATAAAAATAAGTGATGTGATAGAAATGAACGAAAAAAAAATACGTGGAGATAAAATTTAAAATGATAATTCTCAATCTAACAATAGGAATTTTATTTAATGCAAGGTGATATTTTACTTATTTTTATAAAATAAATTTAGAATTTCTACAATTACTCATTAACCACATATATTTCTTAAATTCGAAAGTGACTAACACAAATCAAAAACAAAACGTCTAAATTTATTATTTTCAATCCAAACTATCTTTATACCACAACTACGATACTAAAAAGAAAAATAGATTATTATACAAAAAATTACTATTTTTAAAAGTTTATATTAAATTAAAATAATTTATAATTGATCCTAAAAATATTGAGATCGATTTGAATTACTTGAATATGTTGTAACTTTTTTTTTATAACTTATAATTTAACCTCTAAATTTATAACTTGCTTGATCAATCATAGATTAATCATATTTTTTACAAGAGTTAATTGCACTAAAAGTCCTCAAAATATGAGATTTGTTTTATTTTGGTTTTCACTATTTCAATTGTATTATTTTGGTCCACAAAGTATTGAATATGTTTTTATATGGTCTCTCAAGTAGACATCGTGTAAATTACTAACAATTTTTTATCATAAACTTGTCACGTAATACCTAAATATGAACAAAAAATAATTTTGATAACTCTTAAACAAAATTTGAGTAGCTCTTGACAAAAATTGTGTAATATGAATAAATTTTGACCAAAATTGGGATAACTCATGATTAAAATTGTATAATTTAAATAGCTATTTAACCAAAATTTAGGTAAAAATTTAGTCAAAAATTATTCAAATTATTTTTTTTATATATATTTAAGTATCACGTGATAAGTTTATGATAAAAAATTATTAACAATTTAGACGCTGTTTGCTTGANTCATTTTTTTTATATATATTTAAGTATCATGTGATAAGTTTATGATAAAAAATTATTAACAATTTAGAGGCTGTTTGCTTGAGCGGTCATATAAAAATATATTCAAGATCAAAATAATACAATTAAAATATTCGAGACTAAAATAAGATAAATTCGGTACTTTAGAGATCTTTGGTGCAATTAACCTTTTTTACAATTGTATGTTATACTTAAAAAATATAAATAAAGCTAATGGTCATCGTCCTCATCCCTCTAAATTTCTTTAAATAAATTAATCGAAGTGTCAATCATGTAGTTTTTTTTCCAGACTCCAACAACTTCTTGGCGTTCTCTCTCGTATATATCCACACACGCATACCTCGTAGTTGTTACCGAATTTTTTTTTTCCCAATTCGTTAGCTTTTCTCGGAAATTTTCCGGTTTTCTTTCCCTCCAAATCCCTGTAAATCAGTAACCTTCTTTGTCTTCTCAGATCTGAATGTTTACGATGAGTTGATGATGTCTTTTTCTAAGCGAATTCAATTTTGTAATTCACTAAGCTTTAAGCTTTGTAAATTTGGATAATTTTGGTGTATATACGAACATTAGAGTATCAGTAGATGTCTTTCAAGGTGGATTTTGGTGGAATTTCAAGAAGAGGTTTTGAAATGAAGCTGAATTATGGGTTGGGATCTAGGTCTCGGCGGGTGATTCAGGACACTTGGGTGGTGGCGGCGGAGGCGGAGATGGATGATGGGTTGAGTCGGAGTTGTTGGGCGAATATGCCGTCGGAGCTGTTGAGGGAGGTTTTGGTGAGAATAGAGGCGTCGGAGAGTAGTTGGCCGTTGAGGAAGAGCGTGGTGGCGTGTGCTGGAGTGTGCAGGAGTTGGAGAGAGATCGTGAAGGAAATCGTGCGGACGCCGGAGGGGTCCGGGAAGTTGACATTTCCTGTTTCAGTCAAGCAGGTCTGTGTTTTTGAATTTTTTGAAACACGTTTAGATTTTGATTGAATTGGTTGTTATTGATTATTGTTTGTGACGAGTTCTCTCAGTTTTATTTATTTATTTTTTTCATATGGGATGTCCCCAACTAGTTTACCCATACTTCGACTCGACTAATCCCCTTGCCCGGTCGGGGTCCGGTCAAATGCTGTTCATCCACACTGGAAGCGTGAATTTACGAGGGATAAATCCCATGTAGCAGGCCCCAAGGGTGGTGGTAAATTGGCGTTGTTGTGGGTTGTAAATGTTAAATTTAGCTTGTGAATGTAGATTGGTGTGTAATCAGTGATATGTTGGTTGTGATGGGTCTCAAAGTTAAACAGTTGGCATTCTGAAAATCTTAGCTGTTATGGATAAAAAAAAAACGAACTTCTTGATTTTACTTTTAAGATTTAGTTTTTTCATGTATTCTCATAATCTCTGGTTATGGTTTGCAGCCAGGTCCAAGAGACTCTCTCCTCCAGTGTTATATAAAGCGGAACCGGGCTACACAAACATATCATCTTTACCTTAGTGAATCTCAGGGTGAGCATTTGTTATCTGTGTTTCTGACCACTTTTTGTAATCAATCATCTTCACAAATTTCCTTGGGCACTTGCATTAGTTTTTTTTTGGTTGGATCCCTTCCACTGTGAAATGGAATTTATTGCTGATTTTCCTGCTTCCATTCTTGGTGGAGAGCTTTTGGAGGAGAGTACATGTTTCATTCTGCCCTATTCTTTGTGCTACATGCATTTACCTTTTTGCTTTCATCTGATCTTTGTGGCAGCCCTGGCTGATGATGGAAAGTTTCTTCTTGCTGCTCACAAGTGTCGGCGGCCCACCCACACTGACTACACGATTTCTCTAAATGCTGGTGTTATGTCAAAGGGGAGCAGTACTTATATTGGAAAATTGAGGTCTCTTTTTAAGTTTCAACTGTTTTATCATTTGTGGATGCCTTGTTTTTTGTCCAAAAGGGCTAAAAGAACATCTGTTTCTTGTAATCCTTTTGGCTAGGTCCAATTTTTTGGGGACAAAGTTCACAGTATGTGATGGTTTGCCGCCTCATGCTGGAGCTAAAATGACAAAGAGTCGGTCCACTCGGCTGGTGGGCTCAAAACAAGTTTCTCCTAGAGTTCCTGCTGGAAACTATCCTGTTGCTCACATCTCATATGAGTTGAATGTATTGGGATCCAGGTAAGAGAAGAGCTTATGGAACTAGAGGTAATTTAATCATTTCCAAACCAAATAATCCAATTCAGTGCATAAGTTACAGACGATATCTATGCAATCTTGTGTGAGAAAATATACAAATTTGATGAGGCTGTGCTCATCATTCCACTTTGCAGCAAGAGCTGCTGTTTTTCATTGAGTGCTTCTGAAAATAAACTTGTTGATACTTCATAATTCTTTATAAGAAGCAGGGGCCCAAGAAGAATGCACTGTGTCATGGATGCAATCCCGGTTTCTGCTATTGAACCTGGAGGGGTAGCTCCCACGCAGATTGAGTTTCCTCTTAGCAACATTGATTCCTTTCCAACACTCCCTTTTTTCCGATCGAGATCAAACCGCATGGAGAAAATTCTATCGAGTCCTCTGGATGGTCACAGGGATAGGCCATTGGTATTGGAAAACAAGGCTCCCAGATGGCACGAGCAGCTTCAGTGCTGGTGTTTGAACTTTCATGGACGGGTAACAGTTGCTTCAGTGAAAAACTTTCAGTTGGTGGCTTCTCTGGAGAATGGGCAGGCCAGATCAGAGCATGAGAAGGTCATCCTCCAGTTTGGGAAAGTAGGAAAAGACGTGTTTACCATGGACTACCGATACCCTATATCTGCTTTCCAGGCATTTGCTATCTGCCTTAGCAGCTTTGACACCAAAATTGCTCGTGAATGACATTCACCGATAGGTCTGAATCTAAGTTCTTTTATGCATAAGTGCATTTATGCAATCTAGTTAAGATCGTTGGAGATGTTCTAGTAGCATATCTACTGATCTTATGTGTCAGTCAGTGATCCAGTTGACTTCATTTGTAGGTTTTTAATTGTTCAAAGGGTGTAGGATGATTTGCGGAGCCTGTCTAGTTGTCTTGTCAATCTTGTGTTCTGCATTGATGATTGCACCTTACAAATTATAGTTTGAACGCATTTCACATCAGCATTCCTCTTTGTTAAGCTTGTTAAACTTTATTTTTATTCGCCTTTTCTTCTTATGCATCAAAAAAATTTGAGAAAGAAACTTGATTTCCAAGCATATTGTTAAGGTCTTGCAAGCTAGAATTTTCAGCCCTGCCACACTCGCCCGTCACTGCTCCTCCACTGCATCAGTACTTCAATAATAACTACAGTTGTGTTGTCCCGGAGAGATGAGTAATGTGAGGTGAATCTTCCTTTGCCTGTTGAAGTGAAGAGTGCCTTAGATATGAGGACCTTGTGCCTTCATTTTATAACATGCATTATGGCTGTGGCTGACCCAAAATGGACATTTTTTTGCAATGATGGGGTTGAGTCGTGCACTAGTACTCCATGGCCATCACAACCGCCTGCATCATCCCTGCACCATTTTGTCCAACCATCACCAACTCCATTTCCCCATTGCCATCACCAACACATCTACCTNATCACAACCGCCTGCATCATCCCTGCACCATTTTGTCCAACCATCACCAACTCCATTTCCCCATTGCCATCACCAACACATCTACCTGTGAATACACTTGTATGAATCTTATCTTATAGACAAGCATCTGATTTTTTAAGAGGTTGTTCATGCCGAAGTTCTCTGAATGGGAAAGAAGATGGCGGTCTTTGTTTAAGGTTAGAATTTTAAGGATTCGTGGAGAAATTTTAACTGGCATGGGAGTCATTTTTTGTTGTTTTTGCTGTCTTTTATATTGCATTATATACTTTGCCCATTGTGTTCATTGAATTTCATGCTCATTCTTAGGCTGTCTGTATTCAGAGCAGGTGGAGCCTGCAGCTACGTGTACCATTGCCTTGAAATAAGAAAAAAAAAATTATTGGGTGAAATTACACTCAGATATACGCCAAAATTATTAAGCCTCTTCGATGTGAACCGACGTTTTTCTTGAACTTGTAACCTATTGTGTAATAGGAGATGCTTTACTGTCNTATGAATAAACTTGTATTAATCTTATCTTATAGACAAGCATCTGATTTTTTAAGAGGTTGTTCATGCCGAAGTTCTCTGAATGGGAAAGAAGATGGTGGTCTTTGTTTAAGGTTAGAATTTTAAGGATTCGTGGAGAAATTTTAACTGGCATGGGAGTCATTTTTTTGTTGTTTTTGCTGTCTTTTATATTGCATTATATACTTTGTCCATTGTGTTCATTGAATTTCATGCTCATTCTTAGGTTGTCTGTATTCAGAGCAGGTGGAGCCTGCAGCTACGTGTACCATTGCCTTGAAATAAGAAAAAAAAAAATTATTGGGTGAAATTACATTCAGATATACGCCAAAATTATTAAGCCTCTTCGATGTGAACTGGTTAATATGACCGACGTTTTTCTTGAACTTGTAACCTATTGTGTAATAGGAGATGCTTTACTGTCTGTCAAGTTATACAGTACCCGTTGAACATGTCTTGCTGTGTTGCTGATCAGTTTTTTCCCCCCCTTCATAATGCAGCAAGCAAATTGCAAAGTTAAAGGTTCAAGATGGCAAAAAATTTGTTCAAGAGTGTGATTTCAGTGTCAGCCAATGGTAGTGCAGGTGACATACAAAGAAGCTGCTACCTTACCACAGTTTCTCCTTGTCGTTTTTGATGTCTTCAGTTGTTCAAAATGCAGGAAGAGGGTGGGTATTGGGAAAATTTGAACTAGTTGAATTCAGCATCCTCATCATACAGTTGGACTTTGTAAATCTTCCTTTGTTTGTGTACATAGTTACTGCTTTCAAGCATGTAGTTTTTTAAAGGCGCTTTAGGGTTTGTCTCTAAGATTTGAGCCACTGACATTACTTTCGTATGTTTGGCAACCTACACATAATAATGTTTGATTTGGTATAAAATTGTAGATAACCTCTGTGATGGGCTACGTGCTGGTCAATGGATCAGGCCGGGCTAGCCACCTCAAAAATTTATAGCTCAGCTCCTGTATCGATTTGATCCTAAGAACGTTCACTGGTTTAAGTTGATTAGGCCTAGTGAATCAAAAGTCACTGCCCACGACCCACGATCGTATTAGTTGGCTATTGGGGGCCTGATTGTGCCTCTCATACACAAGTACCGACTCAGTCCACTCCTGCTGCGTGGGAGTATCCGCCGGTTGGTGTCGGGTTGGCCCCTAGGGCACTATTCTCCTTGGGAGTGTATTGCTGCTAGTTTCTACCTGTTAATTCTCTTTCTGTCATTGCATAATCTATGTTAGCTTATGTTGCTGCTGTGAGACCTAGTCGACGTTTCCAAAACCTAAACAAGCAATGCACATCAATGCTGTTGGGTTGCCAGAGATTTGTTTGGAGCAGTGGACTTGTAATAGAATATGGAAAAGAAGTGGTACAGTGTTTTCGTAGCTATAGTGCATGAGAGAATCAGATTTATGCAACCTTACACACAGGAGAGGGGGTTTATCGTGACTTAAATGTTTAATGTTACGTTGCAATTGAGCAATCTTATTGTTATGCCCGTGTCCATATACTTCAGCCAACTTCCGCATGAACAAAATCCATTTTGGTTTTCAACTTTTCCAGGTATGTCTGACAAAATGCAATGCGACTCAATTCCCCGATAAGAATTGACACAAAATTAGCAGGTTTAGGTTTGAATTTGACTTCGACTAGTTCAAGTGATAAACAAGTGAACCTGTTAGACCCTTCTGTTCTGTTACACAAGTCATGCTCGGATAAAATATATCATCCCACAATTTGAACTTAAAACGGGTTCTTTGTTTTTTAAGAAGTGTCATAACTTGGTAAATAAGTTCAAAAATGTCGTAAATTGGCAAATATGTTTGCAAAATACTGCATTCTGGTAATAGATTCTAAGGTCAAACATGGCGAGGGATTGCTCCCCTAAATATTGACATTGTAATCAATCGAAAAACATTCAATCATANACAAGCATAGGGCTTGGTTGTGAAGAACTGAAAAATGGAAGACAAATACGGTGACAACTCTCAAATAAAATACACTGGATGAGAAACTACAAACCAAATGCCATGCATGATGCATCATAGTTCTTGATACAAATTCATAGAGAACATTATGCTGGTCAGATCACTTTAAGTATTAGCTTTCCTTGGATTGCATCCACATTGACCCTTTCCCATATTCATTTTACTACGNGGTGCAGTTAGATACCATACATAAACATGGACTAAGCACTGTAACCAGGATAAAACCAGAGGAATAGAAATTTATTGAGTTTCTAAAATGGCTTCTGCATCATAAGAATTACACACAAAAATTAACACAGGCAAAGGTTCTGAGAGTTTTATTAGAAAATTTAACTAATCTAAATAAAATCTTGAACATAAAAAGATAAAAAAAAATCGACATATACAATACTTCAGAAGCTTCTCATCACCAAGAAAAAAAAATGTAGAAACAAGAAATATGGAATACAATATATTTTACCTCTCTCCATGCAATTTAACATAGGCCGGCTTGGATATGAAGGGCTAACTGGCAATATTTGCAGCTTTTTGGATTCTCCCGTAGATGTATAAACCATAACTATATTACACGCCTTCTTTCTCTCTTGTCCGAACAGAATTCTTATCTTTGTGCGAATCCTTCTTTGAGGGCTTTGACTTCCTCCTTGGAGCACCAACATCAGCAGGGTCCAATAATGGACCAGACCAAGTTTGGATGGATGCTTTTGGATATGAGAAATTCGAGGAACTGAATGGGACATCAGGAGGATCAAAAGTTGGATCAATGTGATGTGAAGATCCCAAAGGATAACCTAGTGTTCCATCCTGGTGTGGTGGAGGAAACTTCTCACTCTTGCTCTTTGCATTGGCATGTGTGATTAGACGCCGCCTCTGATCCAGGAAATAAACAAACATGACATATGAAGAGATGACAGAAGTCATGATAATATACAACCAAGAACCATCACTGACTAGACCAGAAACTGTATAAACAAACCAAGTCACTCATTTACTTTGTCATAGTGGTTCATTTTTTCCCTTTTCTTGTGTGGGTGCCGGGGGGGTATTTTTTCTCCTGCCTGCACCTGCCCCCCTGCAGCCACAGGAGGAGCAGAGAACTATGTTCTTTAAGGCCTAAACCAGCTTAGAAATGTTTTCAAAGTAAGCTCCATCAACCTATTTTTTCCATGACTATCGGGGAGTTTTGCCTACTTATCCAAAACAATTACAAGATTTTTTTTATAAAGCGAAAAAAGGAAACAATAACATGACTTCTCACACAGAGTCTCTTTATGGCTCAATCTCCTAAATAGATTACATAAAGCTTGCCTCCTACTTAATATGCAATGACTTGCCCAAATTCCTCACAACATGTTCGTTAGCAACATGAAGAAAAGCTTTGGCCAAAAACCTATACAATGTATGATATTCCCTAATGAGCCAGTCAAAACATTTTTTTTTCAATTGACATTTGTGTCAAGAAGAGATTGACAACCATAGACTCATTAAAAAGTGCAGCTATCTAAAAGTTTCAACAAAGAGTTGCACATTGCAGAGCTTTTTATGGAGCTGCACCAATTCCCTTACTGACAGGGCAGCTGCAATGGGCAATCTAGAAGAGTAAATTGTTATCATAAAAGGAAGAACCCATTTAGGAAAGACAATGAATTCTGTTTCATATCCAAGCTGCCCACCATGAGTTCTACGTAACACCTTGTGCGTGAAATTAATGGCCAACTGGTAGTTTTTTTTCCTACCTATATTGTAAAGTCATATTTCTAGCTGTTGAGAATGACCAAATCACGAATAAATGTTACTGAAAGAAACGTCTTATCTCACATACATCAAGATTCGCTTGCAGCTCAGCATTGGCTTCAGGAGCAGGGAATGCCCTTACAGCTCGGTGACGTGCACGAGCTTTCTTCACACCATCAGCATTGGCTTTGCCAGCCGCTCTCAGTCTACAATCATAGAGCTTACTTCAGACTATTTCGGAATGACATAACAAACCAAATATATAAGCATTCATCCAACCTCTTATCTTGGTTAAGAAAGTAGAAAAATGAATAATGGTGTGGCTGATAGTTTAAAAAAGTAATATAGGTTCAATATACAAAAACCAAACTTTTAATCGTACAAAACTATTGAAATTTTGCTTGTAATTAATATTTGTGATGCATTTTTATTCACAATCTCCAATTAGTGAAAAGTTATAATTCCCAGTATTCGAATAAATTTGCTTCTCAAACTTTATGAATTGTGTAATATATGTATTAAATAGTGGTGTTCCACGGAAAGGACATATTAATTTGTTCTAAAAATCAGTTGGGACTTCAAGGTATATACATTCAAAACATAAATGATCCACACACCTTCTAGCTTCTTCATCTCTTAGTTTAGCATCCATCTCCTTGCTGGGAGGATACTTTGGAAGGCTGGAAGGCTCACAAGCATAGGGCTTGGTTGTGAAGAACTGAAAAATGGAAGACAAATACGGTGACAACTCTCAAATAAAATACACTGGATGAGAAACTACAAACCAAATGCCATGCATGATGCATCATAGTTCTTGATACAAATTCATAGAGAACATTATGCTGGTCAGATCACTTTAAGTATTAGCTTTCCTTGGATTGCATCCACATTGACCCTTTCCCATATTCATTTTACTACGTGTCACGAACACATTAAAAGGAACAAATGAAAAACAGAAAATATAAACTGACAGGACCATCAGACTTGCCTAGTAGGATGTTGACAAGCCTCAAGCCACCTAATAAAGTTAATGCAACTTTCTTATATCCATAACCGAGATCGGAAGAACAATCTCAATAGAAAGTCAAGCAATTGGAATGAAAGATGCCCTAATAAACATTATTTTCGTAAAAAAAAAATAAAAAAAATTCTTCCCCTTACGAATATTTAGCAGTTTGACCTCAAAATCTTCCCATAATACAAAAGCAGATTCAATATTTCACTCTTTCCCCTATAACAAACTAGCTGATCGATCCACCTAGAACTCTGGAATTTGCTTTCATAGGAGGGAGTGAGATGTCCTCGAATACGTTTTTCCTCCATTGCCCTCTTTGGTTGATCACCTGAATTCAAGTGGGACCCATTATATATATGTGGGTCTCTGACCAATACATGGTAGGTGATCTACCAAGAAGAGAAATGAAGGAAAGAAGTATCGAAGGGGATCTAGATCCCTGTAGGATTTCCTAAAACTGCCATTTCATTAGCGAAAAGGCAGACACTGTACCTAAAAGAGTAGCATCGAGTTCGATCTTCATGGTAAAGGACTAATTCATTGCTTCCCACCTTATGCTATTTGTGTATAAAATTTGCCAGTTGTATACTATGGAACAAACCTCTTTCTATATCTTCATCAGTACTTTTGCCTAAATAAGTTATAACATTTATTATCTGTATACTTAAACAGAGAAATAGCTTACAGAAACCAGCCATTAGAACTTATAGTGCACCGGCAATTATTGATGAGAGGTGACTGACATAAAGAATATCAAACTGTTATTAAAATGTAAAAGCTCACTTCACTGCTTAATGCAGCTGTGGCAGTTTGACGTTCAGCAGGATCAATTGCAAGAAGAGTCTCAATTAGTGGCAGTGATGAAGGTGGGAAATCTTTAAATGTCTCTGCTATGCATCGTTTGTAAGAATGCTGGGGCTTGAATATGGTTGCATGTGGCAGCTTTGACTTCTTCCAATATTCTTCTGAAGGAGAACCACATAGCTTGAATATCTTGTGTAGCTGTTCCACCTAAGCAACATAAAACACATAAAAATGGCAATTAAGACAGCANGTTCGTTAGCAACATGAAGAAAAGCTTTGGCCAAAAACCTATACAATGTATGATATTCCCTAATGAGCCAGTCAAAACATTTTTTTTTCAATTGACATTTGTGTCAAGAAGAGATTGACAACCATATACTCATTAAAAAGTGCAGCTATCTAAAAGTTTCAACAAAGAGTTGCACATTGCAGAGCTTTTTATGGAGCTGCACCAATTCCCTTACTGACAGGGCAGCTGCAATGGGCAATCTAGAAGAGTAAATTGTTATCATAAAAGGAAGAACCCATTTAGGAAAGACAATGAATTCTGTTTCATATCCAAGCTGCCCACCATGAGTTCTACGTAACACCTTGTGCGTGAAATTAATGGCCAACTGGTAGTTTTTTTTCCTACCTATATTGTAAAGTCATATTTCTAGCTGTTGAGAATGACCAAATCACGAATAAATGTTACTGAAAGAAACGTCTTATCTCACATACATCAAGATTCGCTTGCAGCTCAGCATTGGCTTCAGGAGCAGGGAATGCCCTTACAGCTCGGTGACGTGCACGAGCTTTCTTCACACCATCAGCATTGGCTTTGCCAGCCGCTCTCAGTCTACAATCATAGAGCTTACTTCAGACTATTTCGGAATGACATAACAAACCAAATATATAAGCATTCATCCAACCTCTTATCTTGGTTAAGAAAGTAGAAAAATGAATAATGGTGTGGCTGATAGTTTAAAAAAGTAATATAGGTTCAATATACAAAAACCAAACTTTTAATCGTACAAAACTATTGAAATTTTGCTTGTAATTAATATTTGTGATGCATTTTTATTCACAATCTCCAATTAGTGAAAAGTTATAATTCCAAGTATTCGAATAAATTTGCTTCTCAAACTTTATGAATTGTGTACTATATGTATTAAATAGTGGTGTTCCACGGAAAGGACATATTAATTTGTTCTAAAAATCAGTTGGGACTTCAAGGTATATACATTCAAAACATAAATGATCCNACAATCTCCAATTAGTGAAAAGTTATAATTCCCAGTATTCGAATAAATTTGCTTCTCAAACTTTATGAATTGTGTAATATATGTATTAAATAGTGGTGTTCCACGGAAAGGACATATTAATTTGTTCTAAAAATCAGTTGGGACTTCAAGGTATATACATTCAAAACATAAATGATCCACACACCTTCTAGCTTCTTCATCTCTTAGTTTAGCATCCATCTCCTTGCTGGGAGGATACTTTGGAAGGCTGGAAGGCTCACAAGCATAGGGCTTGGTTGTGAAGAACTGAAAAATGGAAGACAAATATGGTGACAACTCTCAAATAAAATACACTGGATGAGAAACTACAAACCAAATGCCATGCATGATGCATCATAGTTCTTCATACAAATTCATAGAGAACATTATGCTGGTCAGATCACTTTAAGTATTAGCTTTCCTTGGATTGCATCCACATTGACCCTTTCCCATATTCATTTTACTACGTGTCACGAACACATTAAAAGGAACAAATGAAAAACAGAAAATATAAACTGACAGGACCATCAGACTTGCCTAGTAGGATGTTGACAAGCCTCAAGCCACCTAATAAAGTTAATGCAACTTTCTTATATCCATAACCGAGATTGGAAGAACAATCTCAATAGAAAGTCAAGCAATTGGAATGAAAGATGCCCTAATAAACATTATTTTCGTAAAAAAAAAATAAAAAAAATTCTTCCCCTTACGAATATTTAGCAGTTTGACCTCAAAATCTTCCCATAATACAAAAGCAGATTCAATATTTCACTCTTTCCCCTATAACAAACTAGCTGATCGATCCACCTAGAACTCTGGAATTTGCTTTCATAGGAGGGAGTGAGATGTCCTCGAATACGTTTTTCCTCCATTGCCCTCTTTGGTTGATCACCTGAATTCAAGTGGGACCCATTATATATATGTGGGTCTCTGACCAATACATGGTAGGTGATCTACCAAGAAGAGAAATGAAGGAAAGAAGTATCGAAGGGGATCTAGATCCCTGTAGGATTTCCTAAAACTGCCATTTCATTAGCGAAAAGGCAGACACTGTACCTAAAAGAGTAGCATCGAGTTCGATCTTCATGGTAAAGGACTAATTCATTGCTTCCCACCTTATGCTATTTGTGTATAAAATTTGCCAGTTGTATACTATGGAACAAACCTCTTTCTATATCTTCATCAGTACTTTTGCCTAAATAAGTTATAACATTTATTACCTGTATACTTAAACAGAGAAATAGCTTACAGAAACCAGCCATTAGAACTTATAGTGCACCGGCAATTATTGATGAGAGGTGACTGACATAAAGAATATCAAACTGTTATTAAAATGTAAAAGCTCACTTCACTGCTTAATGCAGCTGTGGCAGTTTGACGTTCAGCAGGATCAATTGCAAGAAGAGTCTCAATTAGTGGCAGTGATGAAGGTGGGAAATCTTTAAATGTCTCTGCTATGCATCGTTTGTAAGAATGCTGGGGCTTGAATATGGTTGCATGTGGCAGCTTTGACTTCTTCCAATATTCTTCTGAAGGAGAACCACATAGCTTGAATATCTTGTGTAGCTGTTCCACCTAAGCAACATAAAACACATAAAAATGGCAATTAAGACAGCAAAGGAACTCATCAATTCAGTTACACTCTGAGTTGACTACAGCCTCTCTGTATCAAATTATTACAGTAAGGCTAACATCACGTATTCTTGCTTATGCAACAATCAAAATGACACATGGCCCCATACAGCAGCATAATTGCGTCTCTTTAATGCATTCATTATTTCAGAACATTAACGCATCTGCTTGGTCATATATGGAACACAAACTATCATTTCCTTCAGGTTACTATGTTCATCAATTAACCAGAGGTGGAAAGGTAAGCATATATAAAACCACACATCTAAATAGGATTATAGTTTTAAATCACCACACCAAACATCAAAAAGTTATCGAGCGATGGAAAAGAATAACTTACAAAACAATTCAGTAAGTTGGGAAGTTACCTCTGTGCGACCAGGCATAATAGGCTTCCCAGCCAACAACTCTGCTAAAATGCAACCAGCACTCCAGAGGTCCACCCCTACACCATAGTCAGTTGCCCCAAGAAGAAGCTCTGGCGGTCTATACCATAGAGTAACCACCCGACTAGTCATTGGCTGCTTGTGATGAGGGTCAAAGAAGGAAGCCAACCCGAAATCAGCAATCTTAAGTACACCCCCATTATCAATAAGAAGATTTGACCCCTTGATATCACGATGCAACACATGGTGGGTGTGACAGTGTTCAAGACCTGACAGTAGCTGATGCATGTAACACTTGACCTACCACATTCATAGATACAAAAAGTAAGAAACCAACTCCTTTTGAACACTTGGCAGCAAGATATTTCCAGAACTAAAACAGACAGAATCTAACCTGAGGTTCGGTAAATTTGATTCCCGGACTGGCAGCCAATCCAGCCAAATCATGCTCCATATATTCGAAGACAAGGTACAAGCTACATGACATCCTTGATGTCACTAAACCTTCTAGTTTTACAACATTAGGATGATCCAAGCGACGCAAAATCAAAATCTCCCTAGCCATAAATTTGACACTCTCAGGCTCTAAATTGTCAAATCGGACCTTCTTCAATGCAACAATTTTTCCCGTTATAGCATCCCTAGCTTTGTACACATTACTATATGTACCTTGTCCAATCTAATCAAAAAAAATACAGAAGCATACAACAATGAATAAGACAATAAATCAATTAAACATATCAAAACTGGATGCTTAACTAAACTATAACTTGCCTTATTGAGTTTTTCATATGTATCTGCTCGACGAGGGGTCCACCCGTTGATTGCCTCTCCAGCAACCGCGGAGAGCCAGGATGGCCATCCGGCAGCCACTTGCTCACCGTGGACATGCTTGGGCGGATTACTTAGCCTTGGATTCGGCTTGGATCGCCTCCTCTCACCCCTAGGCCGTACACTTCCATCCTTTTGCTCCTCCTTCTGATCCCCACCATTCTGAACCTCATCACCACCACCCTCTGCCTTTGCTACTGCCCCAACTTTATCTCTCCTAACCGAGGGCACAGCCAAATCCCTCTCTCCCCCCTTTTCCCTCTGGTTTTCCACTACGATCTCGGACCGCGCCTGCCCAGAAGGAGAACTCTCTCTTCCAAACACACAACCCATTTCTCCCAAACCCTAACCCTAACTCTAACCCTCATTTCTCGTCACATCCTCCACTCTTGTCCTTCATTCAGAACACTAAACTCTACCCAGATCAAACCATTCCACATACAAATCAAATCACGTAAACACAATGATATTTCAAAGCAATGAAGCAAATGGGTCCGATTAAAACAGCGAATATACACCAATTCAAGAACCCTCTTAGCTTTTTTGCCTGGCAAAGTAGAAGCAGCAATGATTTAGAGTATAGCCCCACAATTTACGGCGGTCAAAAATGAGCTATAACAAAGCAAGAAACCATAAAGGAAAAGGTGATAAACAGTTAAACAAATCAAACTTTATTGTTATTCTTTTTTTTTTGGGGGGGCATTGGAGATCAGATATTTTAGTTGCAAAGTTGAATTCCACTTGGGAGAAAAATGAATGAACTTACCGGATTTGTGTTGGAAATGTAGAGTGGAAAATAGATTTGAGTTGATCTGCTTTTTCTATCAAAGGAATTTTATGGGTATGTA